AGTGTGATATGCTCAGACCATTTTTCTCCTAATGACCTTAATAGGGCTTCTAAAAGACTACGACCTGGAGCCATGCCATCCTCTAACCCCCAGTCATTAGCAGTTCAAGGTAATATGTGATTCAATTTTTGTTTTAAAAAGTTCGATAAATGTGAGCTTTTTTGATTTTGACGAAAAATGTTATATTCATTTTTAAACTTCTTTAAAAATTAAAAAGATTTGTGTGACTGTACAGTGTACATATAGGTAAACGAAAATTTAGAGGTGAAAAACTTGGACAAACAGTAAAATAAATGGGTTTTTCTTAGATATTTGAACAAATTTGAAAATTTGTGTGATTGTGCAAAGGAAGAGGGGTTATAGTAAAAACGGAAATTTACAGGTCCAAAAGTTTTCAAAGGCGTATACAGAATGAAATGAAGGGGGGGGGGCAAAATTGCGTGAAGCGCATACATTTTTTTGCCCCCGCCCCTAGAAGCTCCTATGGAGGGGGGGGCAAAATTTGAACTGCAAATTCAAAATATTTGGCTTCTAGACGATCAGGCATACTTTTTTATGGGTTATTCATTTTACGTTATTGTCTGTTATTGAAAGTTGTATCCATTCTTTTATATTGTAATTTTCCTTTAAGAAATTCTTTTACTTTGCCCCCCCCCCCTTGGAGCTCCTAGTAGGGGTGGGAGCAAAGTTTGAACTGTAAATTCAGAACATTTAGCTTCTTGGATATCAGGCAAAAGTCACACTTGTATACTTTAAAGGTACACATACAGTCCAATCACCTTGTAATTGCTTACTTAAGTACTTACTAAGTACTTTTTCTCTTCTTCAACTAAACTCTGTGAAATTAAAAGGGAAAATTAGGTTACAGCACTGCAATAATATGTATTTTTGAAGATTTCATTATCAAGATAAAGTTTTAAAGCTTTTTCTAGATTTAAAAAGAATATTTTTTTCAGATCATTCCTATGCAACCCAGGAGACCACACTTAATAGACTGTCTGCTGCAAACAACGATTTACAACAGCAAACTTCGAGTTAGGAACACCAGGTTAAAGCAGAAAGAAAAATCATTGGAGGATGCCCTGGAGAATGTAAAATCTCAGAGAACCAAGGTCCGAGTTCAGCTGTCCAAGTTGATCTTGTTCAAAAATCAGTAGGAAGGAAGAATTCCTCATTATTGTTATCAATATAATATAAACAATATTTTTTTAAATAAAAAATTTGGCCTTTTTTTGAATATATATTGTAAGGGAAAAAAATAAACCCCCCCCCATCTAAAATTCAGTGGAATATAACTGATTGGCTAAATAAGAAAGGAATTATGCAAGAGCTGGTCCAGGGTCCATTGTCTGCTAGAACTCCAATGTACTGCATAACACCCCACCCAGAAAATTACATCGAAACTCGTCTATGATCCATCCATTTTATTATATATCCGTGTTTCTTAGAATTCAATTCTGGAAGAATCTTGTGTTGGAATGTCTTCCTATTGGTCACTTTTACTTAATTGACAAATGACAGTTAAGAAGAGTTCAAATCTCACGGAAGTGCACCTTATTCACTTGAAATTATTTAATAGGACTAAAATATTGCCAAGTTTCACACTCTCTAATTTCTATTTTATTAATTTTGGTCCTTCAATTTAAACTTTTTGTAACTGGAAGTAACCAATTGAGTGTTGTATAATCGTTATCATACTTGTATGTTAATAATTTTTTATGTATGGAATAAATCTTCAGTTGTTTAATTCTAAGCTTAGAATATCAATTTTTGACAATTTGCCTAAACTGTTACATTTTGCGTAAAACATGCGGTTTTGCGCAAATTGCGTAAAAAAATTGCGCAAAACTAAAATTTTGTTCCTTGCTCAACTTTCGCAAAAAATATTTCCGGTTTTGCGCAAATTGCGCAAAACCGCGCAAAACTCGTTGCGTTTCATGCGCAAAAATAGCGCAAAAGTTCGCAAAAAAAATTGCGCTAAGATAGCGCAAATTTTGCGCAAAAGATTTAGCCATTTCGTGGAAACCCTGAATCTGATACTACCTTTATAAATTGCTAACTGGATACAATAAAACTAAGAATAGAATGATAGGAATGGCAAAAAAGAACAAACTTTAATGTTGACTGGTTTCCAAAAATTTACAAACATTTTGATACGCAAAGAAAAATAACTTTTCCACATTGATAAGAGATTGATATTTTACATGGAACAAATCAAAATTACACTATTTTGCTGTGCACTGGTGAAAAAAAGGGTTTTAATTGATCAAAATAAAAAGCAGAATTTTCAAAAGTTTCTCATTCACCGAAAAAAAACTTATTCCATCATCCTGAGTCTAAAACTAAAGAACGAAAAGTTTTAACTTAAATTTAAACACAGGGTTAAAATCTTGAAATCCTGCAATCCCTATTTGTCTATCATCATTCAGCAGTAAGCGGCATTCAACCAATTACAGATATATTTAAAAGTGAAAACCTTGATTTAATAAATTCCACGCTTTAGATTAATTAATGTTTGCACGTAAACTCAAAATACGGCTGTAACTGGAAATTTGTTTTGTTTTCCGTCACGTAAATAATTTTAAAATTAAAAACAGCTGATTACCGTATAGTTACGTAATAACTCTCGTAAATCCTTTTCTCTGATTGGTTCAGATTTTTCCCGGGAAATTTAAATTTAAAATTTAGAAAGTTTAATATTTAAGTAGCTACTCATTATTTTACAGAACTTTTGACCTCGAACTTAAAATTCACGCATTCTTTAATTTTAGACTCTGGTGCCGAATTTAAATAATTTGAGCGGCGGCTTAAATTTGAGACTCGGCTCAAATATGGTTGGTTCCACTTAAAATTATATTCAATTTTCAATATTAAAGCAATTGAAACCGGGTTTTGGCGGATTTGAGACGCGGCTCAAATTCATTATATTCGGACTATGATTTATTAATCAAACTTTATGCCATTCTAAAATTACGGCTTAAGTTCATTCCTTTTCGAGATCCTGTGATGGTCATAGGAATAAGGAAAGGGATAACTTAAATGATGGATCAAGCATCGATTTTTAAGTTTAAAATACTTGAATGTCGTCTTCCTATTCCACTTTTTATGTACGTTTATTGTACACTATGCATTTAATATTGCAGTGAAAAGCTGAAACTCATAATGTGCATGATGGTGGAGAAAAGTAGAATGAATTGCAAATCATTGGATGACTTGGTTTCAAGTTTTGCTGATCTCATCCTTAACCATCTTTCTCTTTTATAAACAACATTTAAGAAAAGTAGGGGGGGAATGAAATTGTTCAA